TCTGCATCTGAACGGCAGCACACTGACATCCACCAAGGCAGATCTTCACTCTGATGAGTCCCCCATCAGTCCCACCAGTCCTGTCAGTCCACCAGGACCCCAAAGCCCACTCAAGAGTTCTACTCCACCCCACCACCCGAGCCCCCCTACGGTGCCCCCAAACCCAAAAAATACGTCTCGTCTCAGGAGGGCACCCAGCCTTAGCCGAACCCGACAGTCGCTGTCCCACAGTTCAGGTCAGTGGTATTGAAAGACTTCATTGACTTCGTTTCATGCTGAAGAAACTCAATTATCAATCCTTCACACATTCAAAAATGTCACGGTGAACCTTTATCACATTGCTATGGGTTATCTCTTAGTTTGTCTTCTCACTGCCTTGCATTTTAGCGACATTCAGCCACATTATAAATAGATGATCTGGTGCTTTAACCGGCTTTTGTTTATAGAGAACGTTGGAACATTAATTAGACTGCCAGAGCCATCAGAGCATGGGTGAATAAGATGTTAGCTTCGGGTAATGTGCCACAATGCTTTGTTTTGACAACCTACTGTTAATGCACCGCCACCCACACACTCCGCTTGTTTTCAGACTGATAGAGATGTAACGTGAGACCCAATCTGTGTGTCTTTGTGTTGTGTGGTGTCTCATGGGCCATTTAGATGAGCTGTCCCCCGCTGCCGTGGGCCACAAGAAAAATCTCTCGGAGCCTCCAGAGCTGTGTCCATTTTCGAAGCCCGAACTGGCACTGACGCAGAGTTTCAACCTCCTGAGCTCTGAAGACTGGTGAGAAAATCAAATTGCAGGTTTCTACATGCTTGTATAAAGATTTGCAACAATGTGACATTTTTAAAATCAAAAACTTTGCAGACATTTTCCTGCATTTTATTTTCAACAGCAGCCAGTACCGGCAACCACAACTTGTGAAAAAATACCTGACATTTGTGTGTTTTTGTTTTGATCCAGGGAGAAGAAGATCGAGGGTCTGACTTTCCTGCGTTCTCTGGCCCTTTACCACTCAGACACACTTCAGGGCAGGCTTCATGATGTTTGCCTGTCTCTCATTCAAGAGGTAATAGAACTTGTTGTGTAACACTCCCACATCATTTTGACATCTATTCATTATGCAGTCTTACTCTGCTGTTAACATCTCTGTTTCAAAATGAATATCATTTCTCGCTGTCCCAGAAATTATAAATATTTTCAGCCTTGGTTGCTTTTATAACGTTTTTATATTTTTTTGTTGTATTATCTCTTTGTCCTGTATTTTGTGCTGTTGTGCCCACATAAGCATTAATAATGTCCATCTCTTGTAGGTGAAGAACCTGCGGTCGAGTGTGTCAAGGGTTGCGGTGTGTACACTGGGTGACCTGTACACACACCTGCAGAGGGCAATGGACCAGGAGCTAGAGGGCACAGTTAAAGCTTTACTGCAGAAGGCTGGAGAAAGCAACGCCTTCATCAGGCAGGATGTGGATGCAGCACTGGACTGCATGGTGCAGCACTGCACCCCCACTCGTAGCATCAATGCTTTACTCACTGGAGGACTCAGGTTAGACTACACACAGAATAAACTGTTTTTATTAGTTATGGTGGGTGTATTTTTAACACTAAATAATTTTCTATTTTTAATCTTTAATTGGTGAATTTGTTTCTCTTCTGCCAACAGTCACCTTAACGCAGTGGTGAGGAAATGCACCGCTCAGCATCTGGCTAATCTGGTCGAGAAAGTTGGAGCTGCACGTCTCCTGTCTGGTGGCAAAGATCTCACTGACAGAATTTTACCTGCTGTCACCAAACTAGCTCAAGATTCCTCACAGGAAGCCAGGTGTGTAGAAACCTTCTGTGTTGCTCTATATGCACTTCATTTTTAACAGTTTACAACATATTCATGTATCCATCAGTTTAACTTTTGTGTTTGTACAAATTAAGAACTTGAATAAGAGTAGTATTTTTTCTAATAGCAGAAAAAAACACATTAACTTTGGCCCAAAAGCTGAATTTTACATGCTTAAAAACACGATGTATCACACCAAAAGAATGAGGAAAACTCAGAAAGAATGATATGAGCTCTCTTAAAAATGTTATGATGTAATTTTGTGTTGCCCTGAATGTATAAATAGTGATGGAAAAATATTCGAAACAACCTTTGGTACAATTCAATACATTACCACAATATAACCCAGCAAATGTCACCAACCTGTACTCTGATTACTTTGATTATGAGTATTTGAAACACTAATGCTAAAACTACAGAAGGGTTTCTTGCTTCTGGTCGCTTTCGAACTGCAAGTCCCAAAAAGCTGTGACTGCTACAGAGCCAAAACACACTCAACACAGAGGCGGTTAATATAAGCACTCTGATGTCTGCTAAACACTTGTTCACCCCTCAGGTACTTTGGGCGTCGAATGCTGCTGTCGCTGTCGTCCCACCCTGACTTTGACAAGATCCTGGAGAAATACATCCCGACCAAAGACCTGCAGACTGTCAGAGACACTGTCTTCACTCTCAAGACAAAGGTACAGTGTTTGTTTCTGGTTACTGTCACACTGGTGTGTTTGCTGGAAGTCAAACACTGTCATCTAACCTGGAGAGTGTTGTGTTTTACAGGGTCTCGGTGAGATGCCCCAAGACAGTCAGTCAGCCAGGGGGAGACGCTCCCTCCCAGGCAGCGGGACAGTCAGGGCCTCATCTCTCAACAGAGAGCCACTCAACCAGACCAACAGGTGGGTGTAGATATCAAGCAGTGCAGCAAAGGTGCCTCTGCACTCCAAGTCAAGCGTCCAGCACTTTACAAACTGCATAATACACATGGAAAGTAAGCAGTTCATACTGAACCATTTAATGTGTTTTGAATCATCTACAGGGAGTCCAACAGCCATTACAGCTGTAGATCTCAGACGCAGAGCATTGCAGACAAGACTGAATACATTAAGCAGATCTCAGGTCTGCTGGGTTCAAAGGACTTCAGAGAGAGGATCAAGGGCATCGACCAGCTAGTGGCTGACTGCCAGCACAACCCCAACATGGTCATCAATAGTATATTCCCGGTCAGTAATAGCATCTCTTTTTATCCAAATCTCATCAATATTTCTTTGTTATGCACTTTGTTCTTCTCAGTTATCATTACCCAAGTCTGTTCTCAAGGAAACGACGATCAGTGTTTGTGTTGCTGTCCCTTCTCTCAGGTGTTTGATGCCTTTAAAGCCAGGCTGCAGGAGTCCAACAGCAAGGTCAACCTGTACGCCCTGGAGTCTCTACAGAAAATCATCCACTTGTTGAAGGACAACCTGTCCCAAGTGGTCAACATCCTGGTCCCAGCAATCGTGGACAATCACCTCAACTCCAAGAACAATGCCATCTACTCAGCTGCTATTGGAGCTATTAATGCACTTATCTCGAATCTCGGTACTCGTCTCAAACAAATACTTCTTACAGCCGTGAAGTCTGAGGTGAATGGTTTTTTATTTAACTTTGTATATTTTTTTTCATTACAGACAACATTCTTCTTCTTCAGCCTTTCTGCACCAAGGCTCAGTTTTTAAGTGGTAAAGCAAAGGTGGACCTTATCGAAAAGGTTGCAGGTATGTCTGTTCTGTTTAGTTCTGAACACTGTAATCAGCTGGTTACGGCCACAGCTTTTAGATTGATTGATCTGAACACATCTCGCCGTTTCTCATTTTCTGTATCCAGATCTAGTGACGGAGCTCTACCCTCGCAAGCCCCAGATGGTGGAGCAGAAAGTGTTGCCCTTGCTGTGGCACCTCCTGGGCACCTCGACCCACAGCGGCACCATTCATGGCAGGGGTGGCAGCATTAGGGGTGCTACTGCCAACCTGTGCCAAGCCCTTCATGCCCAGATGGGGCCAAGCCTGAGCGAGTGCGCTGCCTCTCAGCCTGCCAACGTCCATAAAGGTTTAAACGAGGTCCTGAGGACCTTATCTTAAGGTACAGCAGAGTCCAAACACAACCAAATGTTGGAAGAGAACAACATTAACACTGATCTTACTTGAAGACAGAGATGTTCTACATTTCTTACAGTGCCTGCACTTTTATATCAATAAAGAGAAAGTCCTTAAAAGTTAGGAACTCTTATTCTTATCTCAGTGAGATTTCCTCTGGTACAGAAGCATGGACAATTGTGACACACTGACATCAGGTCTTACACACACCCAACCTGCTCTCTTTGCACTTTGAAAGTAGCTCATTGTCACTGCTTTTTTCCCCATAAACCTTTACATGTACTGTAGACAAATCAGCAACACTATCGCAGAATGTAAAATAAAATGCACAAACAGAAGAGGAAGAAGACAGGGATCCAAAAGGTGTATATTTTTGCTGTTTCATCGAATGTGATGTGATATTTTTAAATCGTCTCATGTAGTTGATTTGAAGCTTTGTGAATTGAGATTAACAAGATAGTACAAAATACTTTTGTACAGCTCAAATGTGTATTTGCACAGTATTAGCTTAATCTGTATGCTGTATGATGGTACAGTTCTAATTTATCTATTGTGTAATGGTTTAAAAGTCATATTAATGATGTGCTGAGTTGGTACTGTCTGTCTTTATTTGCATGACCAAATTTTACTGGCAGGATCAAGATCGTTTCTATTTTTGTTAAGGAGATATAATACATGTACCCGGATGATGCCTAGACCAAGGTTGGTTGTAAACTATTGCTCCTGGAAGGGAAAAAGAACAGGGAGTTGTACTCCTGTGGTGTCCTGAGAGGTGGTGAAGGCCCAGGTGTGATTCTGTCTCAGTATAGTGCCAGTCTTCAAGTAGCCTTTTAACTCATCTATTGTTAAATTATATTGACTTTGTTTGTGAACAAGAGCAAAGAGATATATGAATAAACTTTTATTTCTGTAAAACTACCTTCAATGTGCCTCATTCAAGGGGTGGAAATGGGATGATGGGATGTTAGCTGTTCAATATTTTAATTTTATTATTTTTCAAGATGAATTGAATTGCAACCAAGAAAAACACAGAATATTCTTTTTTTGGTTACATAACTTTATTAATGGGCGCATTTACTGAATACATGAGATTCTTTTCTTTTTTTTTAATTTAAATGTACCTACTTCATATGACATATGACGAGCTAACGGTGACCAGCCTGCTCTTGATGACCCCTCTTCATATGTCAAAATCATAGAAAACAGCTGACTGTGAAGGCTTTAAGTAACCAGACTGACAAATGTTTTACATATTCCAAGGCTTTGAAAAAGAGGTAGGCTTAGCAAGCAGTAAAAAAAGACGCACCAACGCTTTGAAAATGCTTTGATGTTTCATACTGAGCACTCATATCGCTGTAGTTGGCTTGACAGGGATTTAGAATGATGGCCAAGGTACACTGGCAGGCAGCGTGCAAACTACACCATGGCTTTTGAGGGAGCTCACTTGTTTTTTTAAAAACTTTTTCGACCGATCAGAAGTAGCTGCTGCTGCTGGCTATCAGCACCACAGAGGGTTAGGTTTGTTTTATGGCAGTTGTTTTTTTTTTCCTGATCTGTGGATTAAAGTGAGTTAAGTTTCTGATAATGCGCTGCCATGCTTTGACGGTGCATGCTGGTATCTTTATTAAAGTGAATTAATACGCATGCATCAATCACACACTAATAACCTGATTTTATGTCTGATCCATGATGATAAAAAATAGAAACGCTCAGCATTCATTGTAGAGACCCTCCAACGTTTCACAAAAAAATCTGTTCAGGGGAGCTCATGTGTTATTAAGAGGAGCCAAGTCCCCCCTTGACCCCCCTGTAGTTCGCACACTGCTGCCAGGTTTGGAACTAAATAAACCATAATCCGTAAAACCTTTAACTATGAAAGTAGCTGCCATTTGGAAATAGCACTGTACAGAGACGTCCTGGACTCCCTGTGTGACCTACATGAGACTTTTTACAGCATGTCAGCAGCAGGGTGGACGAGCTTGTGCTTGGAGGGTTGCTGCTACTAGGCCCTCGATCAAAAAATCCTCAAAGGCAATCCTGTCAACAAATACAGTAGCTGAACTGCACCAAAACCTGTAGCTTACATGTAGGATAATCAATTTTTTTTTAAGTCTCCTCACATAGTCCCTTCAAAAAAAAAGCACAGTTGTAGGAAAGGAACACCCAGCTTTTAGTAAATCCAGTCGGTTTTCCAGTTACAAACTTTTAGCAAAGGTATAAAAACGAGGGAGTGCGTTCAGAATAATAGCAAAACTCCCTTAAAACTTCTGAGCTAACCACAGTGGTGTTGTCAAAGGGGCCAAATACGCTTGCTACTTGGTGCAAATTTCATCCCTTGGCTTACGAGAAATGGTGTCGACCAGGCAGAACACGAACTTAAAGTAACTTCTCAAACTCATGAAATGTGCTTTTTGTCACGAAAACACAGAGAGCCAATGATTACACTCACCTGGGTTCAGTTATTTGTCGACAGACCCAATAACCGAAGCCAAGTTAAGTCGAGAAACTGTTTCAGACTAACATAAAAACAACACGTTCCTCTCACATTCCCATCGCTTTGTGCTATGAATGAGGGGGTTCTGATTTTGGTTCATTTAATGCTCTGCTGCTTTCAGTCACTGTATTGTTCCTTCAGCTTCACTGACCAAATGGAAAAAAAAAAAAAAAAAAAAAACAGCCCCTCCTCCTCCCGTGGATCTTTCCATTCTGTTACTAAGGCAGCTGGATCAATGCCATGGCAACCCCCGGACTTGTTGGATGTTGGGAAGAAGATGAGTGTGTCCCGAGCGCCTCGCTCCGTCAGGGACCAGATGTCTTGGGCAGGTCCTGGTTCTCGGCCAAGTGGAGCTTTTGTCTGAACGCGGACACATTAAGGATTCACACGGAAAGGACTCGGGTCAAACAAATCCAGCCCCGAGGAGCGCCCGGTGATTCCCCACAAACAAAACGGGCATTCAGTTAGGAAAGGATACATTGAAGTGCTGAGCTCCTCCAGCTGCAGAAACAAACGGATGAGAGGTGTATTGAAATCAAACAGCCAGAAATAGAAAGTGATGCGATAGTACTCGGTGCTAATCTCTGAATGTGATCCTATTACGTAACAGCGTGTCGGGTCAATATTTGAATTAAACTCCCATCATCTGACTACGGTGTTTACAAAAGCAAATGGTCAGCTTCCTCTTTTTCCATCTATGCAAAGCGAAGTCGCTTCACAGCCCGTCTGCTCCTGAGGCACACTTATCCATCACAGCTTAGCAAGTGTTCCTGGCAGCGGTGTCTGCAGTGAGCTGAAGGCTTGTTCTCACCTCCCTCACACATTGCAAGTGCAACTCTCCCGCTGCGAGCATACCAGCGGCGGGTGTGGGTAACTAGGAGCCGCACAACACGCTAACAATAGAAACTCTTTCAAGGCATTCTTAGACTGCACATCATTCTGTGTGCTGGATAATGTTTAACTTTGAAATGACGGAGCAGTTCAGCAAAGAAGATTTCAATGCTAGTGTGAGATCTTTTATTCCTCGTGATGAGTGAAATTGGTGGAATAATGTGTTTACTATGTCTCCCTGTGGATAGTTTTTTACCTCCCAGCATTGTGATTGAAAGTCTGGAAAACTTACAGTGAAAACCTGCATCAGTTTACTTTAAAGATCCCATATTAGGGCCCTTCTCAGCAAATTTCTATTTTAAAATTTCCAGCACAAAGATGGTTTTTTTCACCATGACTGTACAACCCCTAGGGCTGCAAGGTGGATCAGTGGTTAGCACCGTCGCCTCGCAGCAAGAAGGCCGCTGGTTTGCATCCCGGTGAGGACACCTGGGATTTTAACCCTGTTCTAAACAGGCTGTGCCAGTGTTGATGGCTTCCATGCCCCCATCAGAAAGAAGACTCTCTCTGCATCTATGATTAACTGTGTGGAGCAAAACTGATAAAGGCTGCGATTGTGAGACAAAAACTTTCTCTCCCTTCTTTCTTTGTAGGTGACCATTTTACAAGGAAATATTGCTGAATTCACGGCACAGTCATTGTTGTATTAAACTGCAGTAAATGTGAGTACAAAGAGCAGGAGAGAAGCAAAAAGGCGTAAACGGGGGCTGAGTTTAGGTTGCACTGAAACACAATGGTAACATATTTCAAATCACCCTTAAAGCTTCCAACATATTTGACTGTCCCTAACCTTTACGATTTCCACTGAGCTCTGACCTGTGGACATACGAAAAGTCCTCAGTTCCTCAGATGTTGGAAGTGCATTAAGACTCTTGTGTTCACTCTTGCAGCCAACAACAATTGTTGCGTTTTGCTCAGACATTTTAGAGTTAGAAAAAAAGATAAACCTGGCAGGCAGGGACTCTTCTGAATGGATCACCTTGCAAGCAGCAACAGTGAGAGGACCTGATCATGCACTTTTAGAGGAAGATGACTATTTGGAACGTAAAAGTTCAGTAAAATTCTTAGCAGCTTGTCAAGCTGGGATTCTAGTTAGTATTGGAAGAGCTGAAGCTTGAATGGTGTGAGTAAACTTTTTGATATTTTGACAGCTTTTACTTTACACCTGGTAGATTATAACAACTGCAATATACACAATAAGTGGATTCTCACCATATGTGACTTTTAAGAAACTACTCCACCTTCAGTTGTTTGTACACCTTGGAAAAAGAAAGGCTGTGCAGTTCAGACTAATTCCTTGTAATTTAAGGGTCACTTTAGACACTTTAAACTTATATTATGTTGGAAAAACACATCAAAAACGGTGGTCATTTACGTTACAGAGCAGGTGTTCCAGGTTGTGGTCGGAGGCGCACTTCCTCTGGTCCTCAGAAAGCTCCTCCACGTGGCTGTCGAGGCTGAAGTGCAGTCGCGCCAGCTTCTCCTGCATCTCACGCACATGTTCCAGCTGCTCGAAGGAGCACACCTTACCTACAAATCAGACGGGTGACAGCAGAGCGGTGTGACATTTCTCCTCGGCACAAAGTGTAAACTCTTTAGCAGCAAAGTCAAAAGTATCTCCATGGCAGCAGGTTGGTAAAAATAGCGCCGCAGCTATTTGATTTCAGTCTGAATCCTGTAACAAAGCCACTTTTTCCAAGTGCCTTTATTTTCAGCCTGTTACAGAATATTCCCTCGGCGGCCTGTCACATCAAGGTTATCTCACCGAAAGCCTGTAGTTTGCCTGAGTGGAAGTCATTGAGGAGGTTGAGGAGGCCTCCTTCCATCTCTCTCACGTCTGAGACATCTGTAAGGAAGGAGTGCTGCAGGGGGGAGGATTGGACCACTTTGCTGGGCCCTGCTGGCTGGGGGGCCCTGGGCTTCTCCTTGTGGGGTCTGACGGATAAAAAAAACCCACAGAAAACATTATAGCTGCGTGTATTTTGTTGTAAAAAAAAGAGTCCAGCTGCCTCTTGGACTCGTATTTGTCACATTTGCAAGGGAAATCCAACCAGCCTTCTGTCCTTATGCCTTTATTAGTGGTTTCCTGAGTAAGTTTGTTGCTGAATACCACATATAATAATGTCGGAAATCAGTCTAAACACACCCAAATCTGATAACCAATGCTTTAGATATCACACACATACTTTCTACTGTATTAACAGGTAGTTGTGAGATATAGTTTGATTTAGAATTCATCCATTATATGCACAAAAATGACAAATAAACCCTCAAACTGCAGGACAAGCGCAGAAATACAAAATGCAGCAGATGGTTTTGATGCTACAGTTTTCCAGAAACACAAACCTGGTGATCTTTGGCGGGGGTACGACGGCCGTGAACACCTCTTTGGGCTGCCCCGGCGCTCCGATGGACCTTTTATACTTGCCTCTGTTCTTGGGGGAGGGAGGCTGCGGCAGGCCGAGGGAGAAGGTGGCACTTTTGCTGGCTGGCAGGACGGAGAGCTTGCGGGGGTTGATGGGTGGAGGAGGGGGCTGGGGGAGAGACACCTTTGGGCTCCGCTTCTTGCGTTTGTCCTCCATTATTATTATTATTATTATATATATTTATATTCTTTAAAGTGAAGCTTCCTGGTGGGGGGGCACAGCCTGGCTGGTGTACAGGACGTCCTGGAACAACAAAGGTAGGAAGTTGAGAACCAGCAGCCTCCCCCCCTCCCTTTGAGGAAGACTCTGTGGAGGATCCTGCCAGAATTAGTGCTGCAGCCCAGGATTCTCTACTCGGCACATTTAGAGATGCTTTCATTAGTTTAAGGGACTCCTTTGGGTAATCGCTGCAGTGCATCAGCCACAGAAATCTCCCACTATTCATAAAACGTGACAAGAAATTGGTGCACCACTCATATGCCTACTTCATTATAACTACTATTATTTTTTATTTAAACATTTTTTTAAAAAGCAAAATAGCTTTAATTGTCTTTTTGGGGTTTTTTGTGTGTGTGTTCTTTTTAAAGCACCATGTTGTTGGACTCATGACATTCATTTTATTCTGCTTTTACCTGATGTAAGCATATATTTATTTATTCTATCTATTAACTGTGTTTCCCCTGTTTGTGTCTGCTTGTGTTGGCTGCAGCATGGGTGAATAACCCAAGACAAATTTCCCACGTCTGGGACAACAAAGCTCATCTTGAATCTTAATTCTTAAAAAATCTTCTTGCACAGTTTGTTCATTTCTAGCTGTTCATTGCACTGAATTTCGTTGTCCTTTTTTTTGGTATAATGACATTAAAGGATTCTAAATTTAGGTGAAACTTTTTAATGGCCTCAATTTGCTGCTTTCGCCTCCCTGAGAGTGAAACAGTCGCCTTGAAAGATATTTTTAGAGCGACCTCCAAGTGGCAGGCGCTTAGAGAATGTGTGTGAACTGGAGGAAGATGAATGACTGCATTACTGGGTCCATTTTCTAACCAAACAAACCCATTATATGAACGATCAAGAGAGTAAGGGCTACGCTGCAGCAGGGTTTGTTTTTGTCTCTCTGGCTACTCAAATGACTGAGAGCCTTGGGGGAGCCTATGGTGTGATATCCAATTAGACATAATGTCCATCACTTTCAGGCAGAAGGCTGAATGAGAAAATCAATACACGCCTTCTTACTGAGACTTGATGGAGCAGAGGAGTTAAAGGCGTCACCATTATCCTTTAGAAAAACATTAGTGTAATTCAATAGTCAGAAAATGCAACCATTTCTAAGAGTTATTAAGTTTCACAAGGGCACAGGAGCACTGCAAGATGTGCACTGTAAAGATGTGCACTGTATTGCACTGCAGCAGTTGTAGGCTGCGCTTTATTCCTATTGGGTGCCTGTTTATTGTTATGTTAGACACACATTAAGGCAATTATGAGCCTAAATAACGTTTAATCCCATAAAACAGATGGAGTCACAGTTAGAAGAGCAGTTATCTCCTCAACACTGCGCCAGCCTCTCGTCAAAGTAGAATCCAAAGATGGCCACGACAATAATACACAAAGGCAACTTTATGCTCTGGAGCCTCATTCATGATGAGTCCATCAACACTGGAGAAACTGTGACTCAAAAACAACACGCAGACAGCTGTTTGACGCCCCGTTTGGTTGGATTTGGTATGGTAGAAGCCGTGTAAACAGATTTATCGTCTGTGGATGACACAAATAAGACTTACCGAATCAATTACGCACCAGAGAGCCAAGCGGCTGGACGCGGCGTCGCATTTCTCCTCCTAGAGGCACCAAAAAAACACGTCTGACTTCACATGAATGAAAGCGTTGGAACAACGATGATGTTGAATGATCCCTGCAGCAGCTGTGTGTAAATTACTGATGAAATGTAAAGCGCGGCATCGATGCGCTCGGCTCGTGTGGAGCTGTCGTCTTTATCCCTCTTAAAGGGCCAGTCCGCCCTGCGCGCCGTGCGCCAGCAGGAGGAGGAGGAGGAGGAGCGGCCCTACACGTTACAAGCACTGTTTACTCTCACACAAAGAACTGGATGCTGTTTTCTGCTGGATTCACCTGCCAGGTGATGATGGCACTGTGCAAATACCCTAGGCTCTGTTATAGCCCGAAGGGTTTACCACTAGTTACGCACAAACGGGCCACATGGTGACGCCAAAGTTCTCCATCGTTCTTCACAGTTCCTGCCTTTGACTGAAATCTTGAAATGCCACAATCTCTATTAGGGTGGTGGAGATGAGTCACCTGTAAGTATAGCTGCATGGGAGAGGACCTGACCAGAGTTAGAGGAAGTAACCCTGATGATGGCAAAGCTGGCCACCTCCGAGTTTATAACAACCACAAAATTCAGTGAAACTGGACATTCAGGGGTAGGCACTACTCCCTACAGACCTCCAGAACTTTTGTTCAAGATGCTGAATCATAGGTGATGGTGTATTCATGTGATGGGAAGGAAAAAGTGCAAGTGGAGGGCTGTATATGTTAAAATTTGGCAATGTGTTCTCTACTTTATGGTTGTATTATGTTGAAGTCACACTGCTCAGAAAGGGAGTGTCCATTTAAAACGTGAACAATACTCATTCATCTTACACTCGAGGGGCGAACAGTAGAGGGATAATCTTACCTCTACATAGGACTGACTCTATGAAGAGGACAGTAGTGCTGTTCTACTTTTACTTGAGACTGTCAGGCTTGTTTTTGATGTTTTATTGTCTGGACCACAGGACGACTAGCTGACGCCAAGACGTCAGCTAATGGGGATCCTCTGAAATAAACAAACCAATAAACATTTAATGTACAGTATGTTGTAGGACAATCCTGCAGCTACAAAACAGGATGATGGCCAGTGGTGAGAAAAGTCCCTTTACTAGACTAAAAGTAGCAATAAATGATGTAAAATAAGCGCTCCATCACAATTAAAAGCCCTGCAAGAAATAATAACTCAAGTATTAGCAGCGAAATGTAAAGTATTAAAGTAAAAGTGACTGATAGACGATGATATTCTGTCTGACATGATTAGATTATTAACAGTGAAACATCAGTGTTTCAGCAGCATGTAGCTGCTGCAGATGGAGCCGGTTTGAACTACTTCATGTCCAGCTTTATATACAGAGACAGCAGATACATCTGAGGGGTCATCAGATGATTAACGGGAGAAGAAAGAAGAAAAATTAAAGTTGTTGGACTTTTTCTCACTTCTTTGGAAAGTTATTGGATCATTTTAACTTTTATTAAAGTGAAACCACTTTGTTATCTGACATCAGAAACATGACCCAGAGGACATGCTGTTTGTTGTAAGATGTCAGAAGTCAAACATTTTGGGAAGCACTGGTTTAATTGTTAACAGTTTGTTGTAATTTAAAAGTAGAAAGTACAATATTTGTCTTTGAAAGTTTGTAGTGGAGTGGAAGTACAAGTACCTTGAACCTTTCTCTCTCTCTATCTATCTATCTATTCATACTCACATATATATTTACTTCTTGTGTGCTTTATTCTTATCCATCTTTTTAATATTGTTTCGGTGTGGAACATGTGCACAAACCATTTCACTGCGTGTTATACTATGTGTAACTATGTTTGTGACCAATAAAGGCCTTGAATCTTGAGTCCTTGAACTACACTTCAGTACTTGACTAAACATACTTACTACTTTCCCCCCCAGTGATGGTACGAGCTACAATAATGACTTCTCTATTTCCAAACACAGTGCATTAGTGTTTCAATTGATTTTCTACTGAAAAACAAAGACGACCTTTGACCTGCAAGTCTGCCAGGGGGCCTGCTGGGACATGGTCTAAATGGAAAACACCTCAAAAAAACAATTCTCTAACACATGATAGAGCAGGACCGCGGTGTGTGACTGTACTTCAAGAGTTGGTGTCTATTTGTGTTTGTTTGTGGTTGAGACGTCTCTAAAAATGAACAGAGGCCATGAGTTAATCAGTAAACAGCTGTACGAGAAGGGTAGTGAAACGTATGGTCATGGAGATAAAGAGTTCATCATAGATTCTTTTAAGGGCATTGAAAATTATTCATACAATTAAGCATGTTTTTCAAAAGTCAATGATTTGTAAGTGCATATTTTTTTGAACATGTGATAAAAGGTGCATGTGATTCTAAAAGTGAAAAGTGAGTAGGCCCCTAAGTGTAATGACTAAAAGTCCTGTGTTAAGAGTTTGATGCAGATATGGTGACATAACGCAAAAACTACAAGCAGTTATAACAAATACTTGTTGCGATTCAGATTCAAAACAACTTGATTTTTAAAAATATGTGTTTGGGCCACTGCTATAGTTCAACTGGTTGAGCTGGCGACTCATGTACTGGGGCTTTAGTCCCTGACGCAGCGGTCATGGCTTTGAATCCAGCCCATGGCCACATGCTGCAGGTCCTTCCCCCATTCTGCTCCCCATTTTCCTGTCTCTCTCTCTCTCTCTCAATTGTCCTGTCAAATAAATGCAAAAAGGCCAAAAAAAACCAAACAAAAATATGTGCTTTGATCTGGTGTAAATCTCATCTTTGGCACACTCCCCTCCTTTTTTTGCCTTTTGAAAGAAAACACAATTCATCAACTAAGAAAAGGCATTGTGAGAGCTAAAGACAGTAAAAAAAAAAATTTTTTTAAAGGAAGAAATGCTAAAAACTTAAAATATTATTTTGGTTAAAAATATTGAAATTTCCTGTGTTAACAGCTAAGGGTAAAATCTAACATTAAAAACTCTAAAAACTGATTTAGGATAAAGTTTAGTTGATAAAGCAATTTAAAAACATTATTTTTATCAGGAAAAGATAAGATCCTGTTTGATAAGGTTAGATTATAAAGATAAGGTTTTGATTGAATGAGCTCCAGGTGTAGGAGCACAGATTTTCTACCTGTGGATGTGTAATGTTCAGTTTTTGATGGAAATAAATGGACTTCCTTCGTCTTGGTCTTCAGTGTGAGAAACTTTGCACTCCTGTGGTTCAGTGTCTAGTGTGGTTCGAAATAGCCGCTACAGGCATCATATAGAACTTATTTTTTAAGTTTTATTTTGTCCTGGGTAGCCAACTTTCTTGATAGTTTCCCTTGCAGATTTTATATTTCCACCTCTGACCAAAACAAAATTCTGTGTGATTTTTCACCAACACATTAAATGCAGTTGTTGGTCATTATTACATGTATTTTAACCAAGTGCATGATGGGAACTGTAGGCTCTATTTTCACTGCTGCTCTACAAAGTTCCCAATGATAAACTCATGGGCACACTTGGTCAAATGATACATTTCAGTCACCTCTTGTGATCAGAATGAAAAACCAAAACACCCTTTAAAGTAATACAAAAATATTTTATTTTTCTTATGGCGGATCAGAACAAAAATGTGACACAAAATGCAATTTGTAGAAAAAATACAGGGCTCTTAGGCATGTCTGTTTTGTTCCAAAGTGAGCGCGGCCGACAATAACTTAAAGTCTAACTGACTTTCTGGTCCGATGAGCTGTTTGAGTACGAGTACGCCTTCCCCAGGACTATTCTGTCTCTGAGGAGCTTGAAGAAGGCGTAGTAGTTGCTGAAGAGTATCAGGGCCAGCGATATCGTCTGGTGCCACTTTTCCGAGCATATCAACGAGTAGAGCTGGTAAAATATCATGGCACCTTCCAGGATGATGAGGATGTTCAATATTCGTAAAGGCTTGTTGAAGAAAAACTGGAGGAAAGAAGGACAGGAAGCAGTGAGTGAAGAGATAAGCTGAGTGGAAACAAAACGGCATTAATATTTACAGCTCTGTGAAATATCTGCTGTCTGTGACGGTTCTACATCATGTCTCCTTCAGGGATACTCACATAAAAGCGATAGTGGGACACATCTGATGGGACTGCAACGTTATAGTGGCCCATGGCTTTATAGACGTTCTTATTATGTTTTACGAGGACTCCCTGTGGCCACATGTACTCTTCGGTCCATCTGTGCAAAGAGAGGTGACGGAGTGAGATTTGACGAGGATGAGTCTAAATCGACCAGAAGCCTGGGAATAAACGGGGAGCGGTACGTACATGTGCTGCAGGACGTTGGAGCAGACTGACGGATCTACTTTCTGCCAGCAGCCGAGGTGAGCTGCAGCTTTGTGAAGCAGGTCGCAGTACCGAGGGGGCAACAAGTGCCTCATCAGGATGACTGACGTGCTGACGGACACCAGGATGAAAAGCTCACAAGACCACCGTTTATCCACATACTGGGTGCTCTGGAGGAGGAGGGAAAATATTCAGGCTTTGAGAAGACTTGTTAAAGAACATGTGTAACAAGCGTTACAAGACTAATTCCTACCTTGACAAACCAGACGGGTACAAACGCCACGTAGTAGGCGCTGAGCATGGAGCTGACCAGCACCTCTTTCATCCTCCAGTTAAAGTCCATCTTCAGGTACTCCACCTCCTTGCGGATGAGGTCCGGGGAGAGGCAGCAGGCGTGAGTCGGCATGGCCTGGACGCCGTACAGCTGGCTGGTGTGCTGCTTCCACGTCTCCTTCAGCACGGTCAGGTAGTCGCGGCCCCGGCCCACGCTGCCCACCTCTTTGGAGCCGATGCTGGCGATGGGGGAGAGCGGACCGGCCCGCCGGAAGTCACAGCTCAGCCGGAAAAACGGGATATACATCCCAAACCTGTGGGAGGCAACAGTAAGAGAGACCTTTTAATGGACTGGAAGCATTTCCATATAAGATAAGATGAACTTTACTGATGCATCACCGGGAAAATTCACAACATAGATCATGATACTGATAGAGTAGCACTCGTCTGTAAAATAAAGGTAGACAGCGTGCAAACTGTTTGGAGCCACAGATCTTTGTCTTATCAGTTCTGAATGCTTTCATAATTAGACCTGTCACAACAAAACAA